CAGAGAGCTGGGCCCAGGGCCCACTGTGCAGCCTCCAGGTAGCTCCTCCCTCTCTCCCACTTGTGCCCATTCTGCTCTCAGCTTCCTGGAGCTCCCCCTGCTGGGGTGCTGGGTAGGAGCGCAGTCCTGCAGAACTTCTCCTAGCCTGGCTTCTTTCACTTCACCTGAGGATCTGCAGATCCCACCCTGTTGTCCATAAAGGACAGATTTCATTCTTTTTTAAGCTGGAATAACTCCATTCTGTGTATGTGCCACTTCTCTTTAATCCAGTCACGTATCACTGGAGACCTGGGCTGATTTAGTATCCTGGATACTCTGCATAGTGCCGCAATAAACTCAGGAGCATAGAAGTCTTTTTGGTATTGGGATTGGGGTTTCACTTCATTAATTTTAATTTTTTTCAACCTTTCCACCCAGGGACACAGCACCACTAAGGGAGGACACACACCACCCCCAGATTTTTTTTTCTTTTCTTTCTTTCTTTCTTTACTTTTCTTTTTCTTTTTCTTTTTTTTTGGAAAGGGGTCTTGATAAATATCAAAGCTTGTCTTGAGCTTGAGATCCTCCTGCCTCAGCTTCCCCAGTCACTGGGAAGACAAGTGTGCACCACTGTGCTTGCCAATTTCATTTCCTTTGTCTATGTATACAGTAGAATCATTACTGCTTCCTGTTGTAATTTAATTAATTAATTAATTAATTTTTTTGGCGGGAGATACTGGGGATTGAATTCAGGAGTACTCAACCATTGAGCCACATCCCCAGCCCTATTTTGTATTTTATTAGAGACAGGATCTCATTTAGTTGCTTAGTGCTTTGCTAAATTGCTAAGTGTGGCCTTGAACTCATGATTCTCCAGCCTCAGCCTCCTGAGCCACTGGCATGTGCCACCATGCCCAGCCTAATTTTAATAATTTTCAGAACCTCCATGCTGTTCCCGACAATGGCTGGGCTAATTAGCATCTCCACAACAGTGTGCAAGGGTTCCATTCCTCCACATCCCAACCAACCTTCTTCTCTTTGTCTTTTTGATGGTAATTGCCTTTTCATGGAAGTGAGGTGATATCTCATTTGGTTTTCTCTTGGAGTCACACTGGAAGGTGAGGTTGCAGGATCCTATGATTTTCTTGTTTGCCAAAGGCTGCTCCAGCACATTCCCAGAAGGAGTGTGTAAGGGCTCCCTTCCTCCACACCCTAGCTGATGTTTCTGCTCTTTCTACAAAAGCCTATCCACTTTGGTTTAAAGGGAGCATCTCCTGGTGACTTGGTTTGCTTTTCTCAATGATTGATAAAAAATCTTTCCATATTCTTGCTGGTCATTTGTTTGTTCCTTGGAAAATGTCTACTCATATCTCTTTATGATTTTTTATTAGCTTATTTTTCACTGTTCATTTTCCTGAGTTTTGGCCTCTGACACATCTGTGGCTGGCACACCTGCTTTTTCCTCTCTGGGTGTCCTTTGGCTTGTCTCTGCTGTGTGAGCTGGTTATTTGATGGTACCCACCGGTTCATTTTGGCTTTTATCCTCTCTACTTTTTGTGTCATATTCAAAAATTATTGGCAACATCAATTCCAGGCAGCATTTTTCATTTTCTTATAAAAATGATACATTTTGGGGTTTTACACTTATTACCTAACGCAGGTTATCTAACCCTGGTGTGCAGAGGGTCAGATTTTACTCTTCCACCTGAGGATATTCAGTTCACTCAGCTCTGTTCATAAAGCTGTGTCCTTTCCACAGTCCACATTCTTGGACCCTTGCTGGATTTCGACCACAGCCTAGGTGTGGGCTGAGCTCTGAGCTCCTTGTCCCTTGTGCTGATGTGTGCCTGTGTCCATGACATCACGTACTGCTTTGTTCACTCCAGAACTGAGGTCCTTAGAAACCAGCAGCTGTGCTCAGGCTGCCTCACTCTGCCTGCGGGAGGGTGTCCACTCTTCATGAGCTGTGCGTTTCCACAGGGACATTCAGGATTTGGAGTCTATTAATTGTGAATAAACCATTTTACATTTAATTTTTTTAAAATCAATTTAAAACACTGTGCTGTGTCCTACACAGTGTGTGCTGAAAATCACACACTGTGTGATGGTTATGTCCACTTAATTAACAAACACCTTGCTGCACACAGTGGTCCTTGTGTGGAGAGATCTCATAGCTACACTTGAGCACACAGTGTGCCATCCTGACTTGTGGGAACATTGGTTTACGCCAGAGACACCAGTGCTCATGTTGATCTCAGTGGGCAGTAGGAACTTTTAAAAATATTAATTCATCTTTTCAGTCCATAAATACTGCGATACAGTTCCTTTTATTTTTGCTTCTTTAATTTCCTCCACTAGTGCTTCACAGTTTTGGAACACACTCAGTCCTGGTGATGCTGCCCCTGGGTGTTGGTCCAGGGCTCAGCTCATGCTGCTCTAGGGCATCTCCACCTCCAGGAAGGCTCTCTGCCTCAGTGTCTCAGGCCCTGCTGCACCTTCCCAGCCTGTGGCCTTGGGATCCTCCCTGAGGAGGTACATGGGGCTGGAGCAGCTCAGAGCCTGAGGTCTGTCCAGAGTCAGGCAGAGCTGTCCTCCCCTCCACCTGGTGCTGCTGTCTCCAGCTCTGGGGTGAGGTGACATGGGCCCAGCCAGCACAGGAGCTGGAATGTGTGACCTGGCACACTGATCTTATACCTGAGAAAATATTCTGTCAGTATTTCTTTGCAGCATAAAATTATTCTAATTGCTTTGAAAATATATTTTAAAATATAGTTGTAGAACATATATAGTTGTAGAACAAATACGTATGAGCATATATGTAGAATATATATCTTAATTCATTGAACTTATATTTTACTCCATTCTTTAAAGCAAAGAAACATAGTATACTCATTACTGTAATGCTTGATTTTCATCTTAATAATTACATACAATAGGTCAAGTACCTGAATCACCCATTGGCTAGTTCCCTCATATCTAAAATCAGGCTGATCTCTGTAACACATACACTTCTTATGGGAAATCATAATGGATTATATGAACATACTTCCCACCCTAGGCCACTGGAAGAGCAAAGTTGAACATCTGCAGGTTTTCCTGAGGTGCCATCAGCATCTGGGCCTCTCTTGCCTCCTCTGCTAATGTTGCCAACCTCCCTGTGTTCAGTCAGCTCTTGGTGCTAATGCAGCTGGTTTGCTTCTCTCCTCCGTCCCAACCATATCTGCCCCAGACTGAGAAATGACTTCATCCTGCTTTCTCTCCATCACTTGCAGGGCAATTCCAGGTGATGGGACCAAGATCACCAGTCATTGCCATGGTAGGGAAAGAGGCTGTGTTCTCCTGCCACCTTAAGCCAGCCATGGATGCACAGCACATGGAGGTGACATGGCACAAAAATCATCAGTCAGGCCTGGTGCACGACTATAGGAATGGCCAGGAACACGTGGAGCAGCAGCAACTAGAATATTGGGGAAGGACCCAGTTTCTGAAGGGGAACATCAGCCAAGGGCAGGTGGCCCTGAGGCTCCAGCCCATCCGGACTTCAGATGGAGGGGTCTACACATGTTTATTTGCAAGCTCCACAGGGTACAATGAAGCACAGTTCAAGCTGTTAGTCACAGGTGAGCCCTGGCATGAATACTCTGAGACATAGTGTGTTGTAGTTTTTTTCCTAACAGCACTCTGTGGTGTGCATGGCCAGAGGTGGCTGAGTCCACACAAACAGGGAGCTGGAATCCAGAATGCCAGAGCTGAGCGTCACCTGGGCGGCCCACTCTGGCTGCACCATGTCTCAGTAGAAATCCACTCTCCTCCCTTTTCTTTCTCTGTGTGACTGCTGAAGGGGAGATGTGAGCAGGGAGCACAGTGTGTCCTAACTCTGAAATGTCCTAGAGACACTTCTTGGTCTGAAGATGTCACTCTCTTTTCCAAAACCCAGTAGCAGCTTGATGTGCAGGAGGGTTCTGAGCAGCCCACCAGCAAGCCTGACTGTCTGACCTCATTCCAATGCACACAGACGTGCCACTGAGCAGTTGGACATGGTGTTGTACACTCTTCTTAAACACCCTTGTCTGTTCAGGTCACAGCTTGTGTTTGTGCCTTACATCCCTCTTCTACAGAGATGTGGCTCCCACTCCTGTCCTGAGTGGCTGCAAGAGTGAGGAAGGTTTCTTTCCTAGACACTGGATTTGCCAGATCCCAGATGCTTCTGCTCTGGTTCAGAGGACTTCTGCCAGCAAACAGAGAACAGCTTCCCACAGCTGTCCCACTTTGTCCCCAGATCCCTTCCAAGCACACACCTTTCCCCTTGAAGCTTGGCCCAGGATACCAGGGCCTAATGCTTGCACATGTGTGTTCTGAGCTTCAGCAGTGGGTCACTAATGCATTCCCAGCAATCTACATTTTATTACATGATTGCAGGAGAGGTTCTCCAATATACTACTCCTCAGAATTTCTCCTCAGCAGAAGAAAATGTGGTATATGTTTTTGTAACCGCAAAACACACAGAATTAAAAGAAACCAGGGCCTATGTTCAGCTTTCGAATTTGAAGTATGTGCATATATTAGGCACAACACACGGGAACCCACTCAACAGTGTAAGAAGCCAAAGTATCTCCAGCATATCCAAATGTATAGTTGAATTTACAGTTTACCATGGGCAGTAGAAATATCCTGAACTTTATTCCCCACTAAGGACAATATCACACCCTTATCTCCCAGCTGTAGCTGTCTCACAACCACCCCTATGCTTCAGATCTGGAGGACAGAGATAGCCTGAGGGGAAGCCACACCCCCTTTCTCTATTGATATTGTCTAGAGCATTTCCATTCAGACTTGTCAGCATCTGAAGGCCACTCCATAGAGCAGGAGATGGGAAGGTGCTCCATAGATGGGTAGGCACTTCCCCAGCTAAGAAGTCATTACCCCAGAATGCGTTGCCCAGGTAAGGTAGCTACCTCCTGCATGTGGCCATGCAGGTGCAGCTTAACCCCTATAAATCATACAGGAATGCCAGTCCCACAGCCACCTGGGTAGTGTGTCTCACACAGAGCCCTGACCTATTGCACCAGACAACCAGCTCCAGGGCTTCTACTATGAGAAGAATTTCTGCAGGAGGCATGAGCAGGAGGAGGGTGAGTGAATGTTGGGGAGCAGTTTACCACAGGAGCCTCTAATCCACATGTGCTCTTCAGTTCTCAACCATGATGGATGGATGGATGGATGGATAGAGGGTCTCAGCCCTACTGTAGTGAGCCTGAGAAGAAAGGATGAGTCATGAGTCCTAGGAAAGTGGGAAAGAAAATGGTCCAGATGGTGTTTGACCACTTGTATACGCACTAGTCTAACAAATTCAATTTCTTTCTCAAAAACATAAAAAACGTCTTTTGGATGCACAGTTTTCTTACTCCAGCTTTCACAAGCAGGAGAGTTCAGAGCCTGCAGGTTGACCAGTAAGCCAAAGTCCATAGGCCTCAGGGGGGGCAGAGCCATTGGCCTCCTAACAGAACAGTCTCTTTTTTTTCTCTCTCTCTCTCCCTCTCTCAATCCCAGCCTCAGGCCTGGATCCTCTTATTCATGTTGAACCTGGTCCCAGTGGGAGAATCAAGCTGACCTGCACATCCCCTGGGTGGTATCCGGAGGCAGAGGTACAGTGGAGTGGCCCAGGACAACTCCAACTGGAACTTGCCTCAGAGGCAAACTCAGTAGAAGGAGACAGCCTGTTACATGTGGAGTCCTCTCTCTCAGTAGAGGAAAGTTCCAGAGAACATGTGACTTGTTCCATCAGGAACCCTGTCCTCAATGAGGAGAAGAAGGGCCACGTGTCCCTGGCAGGTCAGTTCCCTCCCAGGTGCTCGTCCAGAGGTTCCAGTGCAGATAGGAAGCTTTGAGGAGCAGAGACCCCTGACACAGACTGCAATGAGGGTCCAGTGGGTGCCTTGTCACTCTTGAGTGGGGACTTCCTCAGATGTACCCTTGTGCACTCCCGCTGAGGTCAACAAGGTCATTATTTCACAGGGTAGAAGTGGATATGCCAAAGCCTTCAAGGGTAACAGGGCTAATAGGGGTCTGTCAGAGTCCCTTGGAACTTTCCACTGCCCAGACTCACCCTGCACAACAATTGAGATTCTTCCACCACTTGTCAAGTTTACCTAATGTGCTTATCACAGCCACCTCTGTGACCTTGACACATGCAGACTGTTTTGTGCTCAGGTTCAGACTAGTAAAAAGGGCTAATAATAGTATGTCCTTTTTGGAATGAGGGTTAATGACACAATTCTTTTCACAGGCAGGGAGGACCAAGCACCCAGGTGTGCCCTCCACCTCTGCAGAGTGACTGTTAGGGAAACACAGCCTGCCCCCAACTCTGCCTTGCACCACCCCTCCCTCTCCCAGTCAGGGAGCAGGTGCAGTCTGTGCTCCAGGTCTCTTCTCAGGCCCTTCTCTCCCCAGCTTGACTCACCATTTCTGGCACCTCACATCAGCACCTGTCCCTACCCACCCTCTGGTGCTCATGGGCACTAGGGGGCATTATCTTTGTATCTCCCCTGAAGAGGCATTTCCTGCTGGTCCTTCAGTACCTAAATCAGGAGCTCTCTTTTCTGGAAAACTCCCCCACCCAGTGTGTACCTGTGTCCCTTCAGTCCTCAGCCTGCCCTTAGACACACATCTATGTGATGACAAGGACAACTGGACAAATAGACCCATGATGAAGGCAGTTAGTACCTCAGGAGGGAGGGGGAGGGCAGGTGAAGGTGTATTGTATCTGCAGTCTGTTCCCTAAGAGCTGGCCCCAGAGG